CAAATGTTTTACATTTGCCTGCTTTGCTTTTTTAATGTGCTCATCACTGATTTGTGTTCCTATTCCTCCCTAGATGGAGTTTAATTAGCTGCTCAGACGAACATTAAGCTGCTCCTTCACTTAGATGGGGGATAAATAATGGAAATATGCATCACCTTTTCCTTCTTACCATCCAGGAGAGGTAATGCTTACCCTGCTTTTCTATATTTCCACTATTCCCTAATGTGTTCACATTAGAGTTACCAACTCTGCATTGCAAAACTCCTGGAGCTTTAGAGGTGGAATTGGGAGATGGTAGGGTTTGGGGGAGAGGAGGGACCAGATGCATCTGGTGAAGTTCAGCAAGAGCAAAGAGATCTCCAGGTGAACTGATCTCTGTAACCTGGAGATCAGTTATAATTCTCGGAGATCTCCAGTCCCCACATGGAAGCTGGCAACCCTAATTCACACTGGCTGGGGAAGAGGTTGCAGCCCTGGCGGCTCTCAGGCCAGAACCTGTCTAGTATGTGCTTGGCTTTAAGAGGCTCATGCTGGGACTTTCTGTTCCCAGAGCCTTTGATCACGCCCCCCCCCATGCTGGTTCTTCCTAGGATGGGGCAGTGGGAGTAAACAGACCGGCCTGCAGAGCCAAGTGGCTGGGAATGTACTAGTTAATCATTCAACCAAGTTAATTGAATCATTTAGAACAGAGATGATGCAATGCAAGAGTCCAGAGGGATGGCAAAGGGCCTGTTGCCCCAATAGCTCTACCATTCTTGCTGTGCCTAGGATGCCCAAGAAGGTTGGAGGGGGCACACTCTAACTGAGGAGCCCCCATTTCTTGAGTTGACCTTTTTGCAATTACCATTGGCCTAATGTTGCCTACTCTGGGTTGAAATATTCCTGGAGATTTGGCGATGGAGCTTGGGGGAAGTCAGAGGACAATGCCATAGAGGTCACCTTCCAAAGCAGCCATTTTCTCTTGGGGAACTGATCTCTGCCCTCAGGAGATCTCTGGACCCCACCTGGAGGCTGGCAACCCTACATGAGCCTGATCCAGCAATGCCAGATGCATCTGGTGAAGTTCAGCAAGAGCAAAGGATATGCCACGTGGCCTTCACTTATGTTCACTTACAGCCAAGTTAGACCCACATGGTCTGTGATAACAGTTCCTTTCCAGGGTATTCCAGGGAGACAGAGCCTGCCATCCCTCCCCCTTTTCTTTTGACCAGCTGGGCAACTGCCATCTGTTTGTGGCAAGGTAGACAGCCAGGGATGTCTTAGCTGGGCAGGTCAGTGTGCTGACAGAAAATGGAAAATTATGGGCTGCTCAGCATTTAGCCACCTGTTTCACTGTTTTTCCTGCAAGATTATGATGTGCTTTGTCTATTGTAGTCCAGCCATTCTTAGAGGCTCAAGCTACCTCCCCAACACCCCCTTAACCTCAGGACAGCCCTGGGAAATTAGCTAAAGGTTACTCGGAGTGCTGGTAGATTGGGGGGGATCTGAATTCTGGTCTCACCAGTCCTAGTCCAAGACTAGCCACTACACTAGCCCATAAAGAATAAGACAATTTATTTTTCAGACATAAAATAAAGGTAGCATTCAAAAGCAATGGCTGATACAAAACAACAACAACCAAGGAATGAGTTATGTACTGTAAGAAAGCAAGCAAAACCTGTTATAGCCTCCAAAGGTTTGAAATGTGTCCGTTTTTCACACAGTTTTAATATCCAAATCTTTTCCAGAGGGCAAATAGGGGTACAGAATTCCCTGGGACTGGGTTGCTTGGAGGCCCCCTGAGGAACCAGGATGCCCCCCTCCCTCATTTTACTCTCACCCAGCATTAGGGTTGCTAGCTCCAGGTCAAAAAGTACCTGGAGATTTTGGAGGTGAAGCTGAGGAGTGTGGGGTTTGGGAAAGGGGGGGGGGAATCCATCTTCTAAAAGTGACAATTTTCTCCAGATGAACTGATCTCTGTCACCTGGAGATCAGTTGCAATAGCTGGAGATCTCCAGCCTCCACCTGGAGAATGGCAACCTTATCTGGCATGATTCCTCGAATCCTGGGGTTTCAGCAATGGCTAGAAGCCTCCTGGGGATGCATAACTGCTCCTTTTAACCCTGTGCAAGAGAGCACTGTCAGTTTTTCAATTAATGGGAGGATTACAGCG